AGGCAGCCCCTGCCCGCGGCCAGAGTGAGGGGAGAGGGAAAAAAGGGTATCGCTTCCCAGCGGTGTGGCCGCAGGGGGAGAGCTGCGTTTCTCAGCTCAGACAGAAGCGGTTTTCCTCTCGCTTGCTCGTTATGCAGAGCCTGTCACACGAGAGAACAGCGTTAGGCCTGTCTGTCCGCTCGCGTACAAAGATTGCGTCTAACTAGTTGCTGAGTGGATTACCAGCTTACGGTAGCTAGGCGCAGCCACCAAAAACCAAGCGCCTAAGCAACTGCCTTGATTATGGTTACAGTTTGGAGTTTGTAATGTTTTCCTGGATCGAACTATTTGCACGGTGGCTGAGCATGGAAACATGACAGTTCCGTTTGTTCACGGCTTAAAATGCATTTTAAAGGAAGAAGGTATACTGATTTATCTATTTGATTTCTAGGAAATAAGCATTCAGCTGCTCTGAAGAATGAAGATGCTGCTCAGAGGTACGATTTCTAACTAGTAGTACATAGCGATCTCATTGTTTTGCTTCATTTTGATTATATTCTCCATTTCACTTTTTTCTTTTTCTTTCTCAAAATACCATAGCTAACTTAAGGAAATAAGCCAGTATACAGATCATGCTAACCTGTTTTCAATGATGCTGCATAACTTTTAACTACATACCTTAATATAGAGATACCTCATTCAAACACTTACAAGATAAAACACCACTTCCCTACTTAAAGCACTAGACAAGGTAGTGAGTGATAGTAGCTGTAGAGGGTGGTATTATCATTTTTTTCCCCTTGAAACCCTTTGATTTATTCCTTCTTTTCTTTTGTACCCTCACGCTCAGTCTTGTCCTAGTCCTTTTTCTTTCCTGTACTTGACGCCTCTCCTGTCAATCCATAGATGTTTGTCCCAGGCTTTTGGTCCAGCCCGTTCTGGGCTTCCCCTCCTTTTAAGAAGAGTCAGGTTTTATAGTTGGCTTTTTTAAAAGTAATACTTCTGGTAAAGTAATAATAGCTGACTTAAGTCAAAAGACATTGTTGTTGGATTTCAGACTGTACTGCTAATAATTAGATTTCTATCTTATTTTCTCAACTCTTTATCTAAATCTTGAAACACTGATTTCGGAGTGTCTTAACTCTTTAAGATCCTACTTGAGAAACCAGTTCCTATCCTCTCTGGGGGATTCTCAAATGACCCTTGGAAAAACAGATACATCTCTTCCATCTCTTATTGAGCATTTGCTGAACATGAACCCGGTATTCTTTAGAATGATTATAGCCAACTTTTGAGTCCAGAGCTGTATATTAAATCTTAACAGGGCTAAAAGCTGCAGGACAGATATTATGTGCTGTACAGGTGTGGGGGAGGAGCTGACATCTTCTTGTTGGATGAGCATGTAGCTGGCTCACACAATGACTCAGAAATGTCAGCCTGAGCAACTTGGTCTGGTTTGCCCCTTCCAAGTGCCAGAGATTTGGTTTACATAGCGTTTATTACCCATCTGAATGGCAGACTTGAACTGCGCACTAACTTCATGCGGATCTTAAGTCTCAGATTTGTCATCCTAGACTTGATAGTACTTAGGCCAAGCTCCAGGAGAATAGCTTGACCAGAAAGAAAAATGAAACGTGTTTAACCTCCAGTCTTTTCAGAAATGAAGATTAAATGGTTGTCCTTGTTTTACCTATGGGCTCATACCTTCTTCCTTTAACCTGGGTGGGACAGCATGTCACCTGTTCCAGAGCAGGAAACAAGTGGCTACATGAGCAGTAAATGCTGCCCAAAACGTTCAGAATCTTAGTGCCGATGCAAGTGGCAGGAGAGGGGTTTTTTTCTGGTGAGAGGAAGAACTACAAAGGGAAATCTCTGTTCTGTCACTTGGGCTGCTGGTGTTTAATCACCGTAGTTCAGAGCAGGAGAATAAAATTCAGCAAAGACCAAAATCCGGGTATATCAAGAAAATGTAATACATAGTGGAGTCTCATTGCAGCCACCTGGAAGGATATAATGGAACGTATGACCAATGAGTGCAAGCAAAACTGCAGTTCTTGTGGCAGAACGTGTAATTCCATTGTATAGTTAGACTCTTACATGCTTACGTAGTAAAAAGCGTACCCCTGCCTTTTGAGTTCTTACACTTTTGAGCCTCCTCTGTTGGGAGAACTGGTTTGGGGTGATAGAGTAGTCCTAAACTAGGGTTTCTGTGTGTGCAAAAGATGATTGCTTTTTTCCCCATTATATCTTTTGGTCTAACAAAAATTACTGTCTCTTCTTGCAGAGCTCTCTGTTTTTGTTTTTTTAAGTGTCACAGGCACAACAAACCTACTGATATAGTTAGTTATCTTGTGGCAGCAATGTATTTACTTACCAGACAGGAGGTTCTTCTCCCTCTTGAAGCTTTTACTTTTTTCTTCTGTGGTGTTTTGCCAATAAGAGTCAATGCTTTTCTGACTGAGGGGAAGAGAAAAGTAAACAAAGTTTGGAAACTTGTTTGGTGGCCTGTGATTATTAGAAAATTCCTAGTCCAATTACTTGTTGCTTTGTTAGGCCACCATGGTGAAATGCAGAAAAATATAAGCTGCTATATTTCAGAAAAAAGAGATAGAGAAGACTGGGTAAATTGTTCATGGGAGTCTGCTCTCTCTGTCATCCAGTGTTTGTTCTGTTAAAGGAAAGCAGCCCTGGAGGCTGCTATTAGAAAGAAGATTGAATTTGAAAAAAAAGCACTGTATACTGTTGAACAGCTGCTGGAAGAGAACATCACTGAAGAGTTCCTTGTGAATTCTGTAAGTGTTGCAAGTTTTTATACCATTTTGTATCTTAGCGTTAGAATTTTTTTAAAAAGTTCTTGGAGCTGTTTTCTGCAGTTTAAAGTAGACAAATCTCTTCAGATCTGAGGACGATTGCCGTATTTTCAGGGGTTTTGCAGAGAAAATATGCCCTAGTTTTCAAGGACTGTATACACTTATGTGTATATACTCACTTTATTACCACAGCCTTCATTTATGCCTCTTGAGCTCCTGACTGATGGGTGAAATATTAAAACGGTAGCTCCGGATCACCTCCTCTGTGGATTTAGAGAAAGTTTCTACAATGCTGCTCTTTGCCCCAAAGTTTATCTGGCAGCACTGTTTTGCTGGCGTTGTGTGAGGATTATTCCTGTTTTTTTTTAGCACTGCAGGAACATGTTACAGTTCTGGTACATGTGGGTTTCCTAGCTAAGTTTTCCATGACCAAATTGGAAACGGTACATAGAGTGGGAGCTCCTGCTGCAGTAGGAGAAAGGTGACCACATATGGTGAAATCAAGTCCAGAATTAGTTGCATGGCCCAGGCCAAATACAGGATAGTTTCATCTGGCCAAAGCTGAGAGATCAAGCTCAGGATGACTGTGTTGTGCAGTGGGAATTAATGTGGAGCTTTTCAGCAGTTTTGTGAACATGCCTAACAGTATAACTGCCATTACTTTTACTTGATACTGTAGTTAGCGGAAAATGATTCCGTAAAATGTTTTCTTTCTAATAATAATAACAAAAAAGCAAGTCATCATACTGAAAGCTGTTTCTACAAAGTAAATGGTTTAGATGAAACTTTCCTCACCAAGCTCAATAAGTTTAGGAGCAGGCTTAAGTTAGTTAAGTCCTTCCCTGATATGAATGCCATAGCCCAGTATATAATTCTGCATGAGGGCATTTTTGTGACTGTAATTGGGGGAGGCGGCACAAAAGACTTCCAAGTGTTTTGGGACTGTGCAGAGAAGAAGAGGAAACTTTCTGAAATGGCAGAAATTCTAGCAGGAAAGGAAATAGCTACCTTTTCTGCTTTTGTCAATATTTAGATAACTTGGAGGATGGGAGACGGAAGAACGTATCTGGAAAAGTATAAAAAGTGTTGGTAAATAGTTGTATATAATATGTCAGTAGAGGAAAACTGTGAAAATGTGTCATGCTAAAGACAAAATAATAAGACTTTTTTTCTTTAAGTAAGGAGAAGTCGGTATATCTTGCTTCTTTCTCTGTTCATTCACTGTTTTACTATTTTGACTGTGTAAATTCTAAATACTGTTGATTAATTAGGTAATATTATTTAAAATATTCATATGCTTATGAGATGTTTTGAGAATGACAAGCAATAGATCTTATAATATCCGTTGATAAATTATTTTCTCGTCATTTTAGGGAAAACTTATTACACCATCTCACTATAAAGACATTGTTGATGAACGTTCTATCATCAAACTATGTGGTTATCCTCTGTGTCAGAATAAACTGGAAAACGTAAGTTGCTTTTTATTAATGCTCTTATCAAAAGCCTGTTAGCATTTTTAAAAATTCTCTTGCATTTCCTTTTTCATTTTATGCTTACAATTTTAAACATGGATTAAATTATTATCAAGTAATAGGCCAGTGGTCCCATAACTCCATGTTGGTCTAGTCCTTCTGAAGTAAGAGTTTAAATCTGATCGGCTGATAATCATTGCTTTATGACTGAATCACGTGGCATCTACTTTGACAGTAATAACAATGAGTAAGGAACGGCTTCATCACCTTTCTTGGTGCATGCAGAAACTTTCTAATCTAGTTCCTTCCTCAATGTGACCACATATCTCTGTGAGAAGAAGGACTGAAGTGAAAAAATAATACAATGCAGGGATATTACTGTATGAGTGCATATACGTATGCTCTAAAAATGTGTGTTGCCTGTGTAAAGATCATAGTCACACTTAAAGACAGTACTTCAGAGCCTGCTTAAGAAGAACTTAAAGTTCAGTTGTATAAACTGTGATGTGATCCCTGCTGTGGTATACCTGATTATCTGAAAAAAATCTATTCAAATAGAGAGGTTTACTCTTTTGCATTTCATATGTCCTCACAGAAATTCACTTGGTAACTATATTGTATTCTATGGAAGTTCCTTTTTGTCTTTTTGTTGGGGAGCAATCTCTAACAGTACAATCTAACAGGTATATAAATAGAGGAAGGTTAGAAAAGGGCATATATGTAATTGCCCAGTGCTTATACATGTGTAAAGTTTCTCCCATAGCAGTTCCATTGCTTTACTGTCAACAGAAGGTATCTTGTAGGTCTGAAGTTGTTTTCTACCGATAGCAAAATGTAAATGATTAATGATAAATTGCCGTTCTTGCATCAGAGGAGGTAATACCAAGATAATATAGAAATTAGGTAGTTGGAGAACGTAATTGATTTTTAATATGTGAATTAAGAATCAAGTTTTCTATAAAGTCATGATAGTAATGACAGTCTTGCTGATGAAGGCATATCGTTTTAGGTGCCAAAACAGAAGTACAGAATTTCAACGAAAACAAACAGAGTTTATGATATTACTGAAAGAAAGGTATGGTAACAAGCTATTTCTGAAATGTACTTAATATTGTCTCAAGAGCTGAAATACATTTTGTAAGAGCGTTCATACAGAGGCTTGATTCAGAGCTTATATGTTTGATTCTTACAAAAATCACTTTCCTGAATCGTTAGACTATGAAGTTCCTAGATAGTGTATTTCAGTTTCTGGATGCTCTCTTTGGAAAGAACAAGCTATTATCTTCCTTTCTAAATTTAAGCATAACACGAAAAGTTGTACTCCTATAGCAGGTTGGTTGAATGTGGTAATGCTGATCTGTTAAAGAAGTATTTGTGAGCAAGTATTTTCCATTTTGCTCCAGCATAGTCAACAAGCTTTTGTCGTGGGGTCAAAGTGCACATCCTTTTAATTCTCCAAGTCTGTAACAGTGCAATATAAATTCCATCCTATGTGTAATTGCATTCCATAGTGTAATTACCTTGATAGTTCTTTTTTTGAGGACTTTTCAGTATAAAATCTGTTTCTTTCCGAAGTCTCTTTCTTTAAGCGTTACGGGTGTGCTTGAGTAACCATCTTTGTGCCTTCTCACAAGATACACAATGAACAGCTGATGATAATACATTAAATTGCAGGATGACTGTTTCTAGTTCCACAACAGTTTTCTTCAGTGCCCTTACTTACTTTCTTTTCCTCTGGTTATAACTCTGAGGATACGCAAAATTCTAGGAATTGCTTTTTCAAGTTACCAGGCATGACTCTGAGAAGAACTGGGGTGTTTTGTCTTGTTCCCTGCTGCAAGTGTGCTGGCTAACTTCTCAAAGGTGGTGCAAAATTTTAGGTGTTATTCTGAGATGTTGCAAAAAAACCGAAGGTCTGTGCTGACCAAAATGCATACTATAAATTTTCATTGTTAAACATCTGAATTACATTGCATATCTTTAAACAGTATGGCCAGCTTGTTGGGTTAGAGATTCCTTTTAAATGTTTATTATTTTTCTGTACAGCCCGTTACAGGTTTGGTTCTCAGTACATAATAGCAGTGCAAAAAAGAGGAGGTGGGGAGAAAAAGTTACAAGTGGTTTGTAGGGAATGAGATAGGGCTGTTTGTTACATTTGATTTCTCCTAGTGAGTTAAAAGCCTAGTCATAGACCTAAAAAGAAATATGAATTGGTACCTCAATTTTACGAGAATTGAAAACATGAATTGTGTACCTTTCTTTGAGTATTAAAGATGTCTTTAGTCATATTTTGTCTGCTTTCTCTCTCTTGTTCCCAGTGTTTTTGCAGCAACTTTTGCTATAGAGCGTCTAAATATTTTGAAGCTCAAATTTCCAAAAGTCCAGTATGGATGCGAGAAGAAGAAAAGTAAGCATAACTTTATATTCATTGCTCATTTTGAAAATATTATGTTCTCTATCCAAGCAGCAATGCTAATTGATTAGCTATGGTGCATCAGGAAGGTTAGGCTGAAGTAGAGGTAACTGATGCTAACATGTTAGCTTAACATGGTGTTCATTTTGAAAGCGTTGTTACCATATTGATTAGCATGTTGACATGAATCAATGCTATTCATGACGACAACAGACATCAGGACAGCACAATAGATGTGCCTTTATTAGCTTAGAGGGCCGACTAGTCACTGACAATATTCAATTCGTATTAATATAAAAGTGTATTTGTTAGGATTGGATTTTTGCAAGTCATATAGTGCACAGGATTAATTCATTTTATCCTGTGACAAGAGAGCTCCTAATTTTAGGAGAGCGCAAGGACTGGGCTTAAGGTTAGATCCTGAATGTTTGCACCTGAAAATAGACTATAGCATGAAGAGTTTCTTTATCCTGAATAAAATGCTAATGTCAGATTGCCCATTTCTTATTCTGACCTCTTGAAACACTACACATTTCAAAGACTCTACAGTCCCCGTTTTAATGAGTTGACTAGCTTAGGAAACAAAGGCTTGCAAATAATGAACTGTGCCACTGAGTGGCACTGTTTAATAATAAATACCTGCATAGCCAAAGTTCAACGGTGTTTATTTAGCTTTCTTTCTCGAAAACACTACTTCTTATAATCTTCTGATTTTCATCAGAAGAAATAAGCAGAAACTAAATCTGGAAGCTCAGTTTCACAGCTCAAATCAGACATATGAAATACCTGATCAATGGCAGAAGAGGTTTAGAGCAGCCTGATCTGATCTGAGAGATTCTAGTAGGTAAAATCAATCTCTTAATGAAATGTGTAGGTAAGCTTACCAGTTTTTGGGTGAAACTATTTTGTTGGGGTTTTTTTAAGAAAATATTTATAAAATCTCCCTTTATTGTTGCATAAGCATATACTTCTGATATGCCTGACATGGTGAATTATTTATGCTAAATGGTACGTTATTACCCCCTACCACCTCCCAAAAAAACCCAATCCAGGTAGTGCATGGCTTCTCTTAAAACTCTAAAGATAAGTTACTTGGTGTTAATAATTTTAATCCTTTTTTGTTGTCACCTTTAGTTTCCAGACTCAGTTCATTCATGTGAGTGGTGCAGCTGGCATCTTTTTAAACCTATTTTCTATACTGTCTAAGCTAAGGTGTTACTGCATTGACTTGCATTTGGCACATGCTTAAAAGGTTTTCTTTCATTCATGAGAAGGATGGGTGAGGATTTAAACTTTAGGTGTCGGATAAGACATATAGTAACTGCCTCGTAACGGAATTGAAGGACATTAATTGCAATTAGAACTTAGGAAAAAAACCTGTTGAGAATCTGTTTAATGATGCTTCCTAGAGTTTCTGGAAACCTTTGAACTCCATTTTCTTAAAGCAGTATAACTTGATAGCCTAATTTCTAACAAAGTAATATTTCAAATAAGTAAAGGCACCCTAAATATTAAGATACATGTTTTTTTAATGAATTTGGGGCAGTTTCGTATAAACTGCCAAGGATTATTTTTACTGTAGGAATCTTGTGACCTATGTGGAGAAGTTGAGAGAGCGAGCATGTTAAGTTGGCGAAGAAGAGACCAGAGATTGATCTAGTAACAGTCTATAACTACTTGAAAGGAAGTTACAAAGATGACAGAGCTTCTTGGTTGATGCCTGGCAACTTAACAAGGGATGATGGCCACAAATTATGGTGTGGGGGGTTCCGATTGGACGTACGGACAACAGTTTGCCCTAAGAGAACAGCGGAATCTCCATCTTTGAAGGTTTCCAAAATTTGGCATCACGAAGCTGTGGCTGACCTGATCTAAAGCTGGTGACAATCACATTATAAGCAGGAGGTCAAACTAGAGACCTCCAGAGGTCCCTTCTGGCTAATTATGACTTGCTGATTCTATTAAATGTTGCTCAGCCTAACAGCATTGTGCTGCATACGCATATGAGTCATGCTTTATGAACACAAGTGAACCTGCTCTAGCTGACTGAGCAGGTGGTGTTGCCCTGGATGATGATCTACAGAGGTTCCTTCCAACCTCAACCATTTTATGATTCGATATACTAATGTGTATTCCAAAAGCACTTGTTTAGGAGAAAAATAGTCACTCTGTGTCTTCTTTTTGCAGATTGCCAGACATAGAGCTGCTGAAAGAGGGACAGAGGTACACTAAGCAATGGTTTTTTTTGTTCTTCTTGTTATATGCATTTGTAGCATCACACCAGGTGAAAGGGAAATCTTTGATTTCCTGTTATACAAAAGACCTTAGAGTCTGCACAAAGGATTATTTGTCTTATTTAGTTTTTTCCTTTGTGATTCTAAAATAGCATATTTGATCTGTATGATTTAGTGTACAGCTGCTCTTGGCCTATATATCTTAATTGAGAGTGTTGAAACCTGAAACGAATATACTGTTTGTACTTTGCACATTTTATGCCATCTATTCAAAATAATACCAATTATATGTGTTGAAAGCTTCTGTACTTCTTAATCTAAGACATCTGTATCAGCTAAATTGAAGTCATGCAACTCTGTCATCTCTCTGTATAGTGCTGTACATAGTGATTTTTTTTATTTTTGCAACACATGGCCATTAGGGGGCAAACTTGCATTTGCTTGAAACCAGCTCTGTTGTCCCCCTGATTTTCAGAGTATTAAGATTTTTCTGTATCTACACAAAGAAAGATGCCTATTTTCATTTTTAAATTGTAATATGTTAAAATTCATCATGGTAAGTCTGACCTTAGTCTGCTTTTTTTAGTATCTTGTTTCGTATTCCTTTCTGACACCAATAAGGAACTGGGAACTTATCTAAATAGTATCTGTACTTGCCCTCTTGATTGCAGGACGTTGCAACTCTTTTGAGTTAGAGTACTTGTAGAAGAGAAGCCATGATTCTTAAAGCAAAAAAGTACACTTCTGGTATCAGGGAAAAATGCTTTATTAATCTTACTTATAGGATAATGAAAAGCTATTATAGTTAATATCCATTTCGTATTTCATCCATGACTTGTGTTTTCTGTTACAGCGGTCAGTCTGGAGAAGAGGTGAAACTATGTGATGAAGTAATTAAAGCTTCTGACATTGAAAATCCTAGGACATCTTCAAACCCATGTGAATCTAGTTTTGCTGGCACTGTCAGTGACAGCAGTAGTGATACTGAACAAGAATTCGTTTCTTCTGTTCTACCAGGAAGTCAATCAAGTTCAGCTAATCTTGAACAACAATTGCACAGAAAAAGCATCCTCACAAAGAAACATTTTCAGGAAGTGTATTCCAGCCCTAAAAATGAAGACTCAGAAGTGCTAGAAGCCACTGAACAGCTATCTAATTGTAAATTAGATGCTCAGGAAGAAGTGCATTCTTGCTCTGTTCAAAATAAACTAATTGTAACTTCTTCACAAAGTACTATTCCTGGAAAATCAAATACTACAGAAAATTACGAAAATACTTGTAGTGGTTCACAAATAGTTTTTTTGAGTGTGAGCAAAAAAGGAGCAGAACAGCTTAAAAGAATGCTAGCTAACTCAAAACAACATAAAAAATATGGACTAAGGGATCCAGTTAACTCCCTGGCTGCCAAAGGCAACTTATTAGAAGTGCTTAAGCAAACATTTATAGAATGGAGAACTGAAGAAACTTTAAAATTTCTCTATGGTGCAAACTACACTTCTTCATGCTCATCAGAATGCACATCAGCTGCCAACCAAGAGAATGAAGAGCTTGATGAGGATGACTTAGATACAGCTGATGATCTTAGTGTTGCTGCAGGGGAGTCTAAAACTGGTTTGAACCATTCTTTACCTTTCAGAGGCTCAGGTGGAATAGTTAAGCCTATACCTAGTTATGAAAAGTTAAAAGAAGAAACAGAATTTCTGGAACTCCGAGTAAAAGAGTTCTATAAAGGAAAGTGTATCTTGGCTGAAGAGGCGATGACACATGCACAAGTAGAAGAGCATCAAAGCAAAGATAAAGTAAGTGTTCAGTGGAATAGTGTCCAGGCTGTTTAAAGTCTGCCTTCAAAGAATTATACAAGCTCTTTGTTTCCGTCTCTGTAAGTGGATACTGTCTTGGATTATGCAAGCTATTAATGCAAAATATAAAAGGGTTGGATAGATTCGCAGTAATCCCATAAGCTTGAAACATATTTCAGGTTGATAAGAATGAATTTTTGTGACTGTTTGACACTCACTGAATTCTGAAAGCTGCCTTTCAGTTTGTGAAGCATGACAGATTATTCCATTGCTTGAGCACAACTTGAACATGGTCTGAGGCAAGCAGAGGAAGTGCTGGTAAACTGAAATGGGAGGAGTTAAGAAGTAGATGAGCCCTATACAGTTTTTGTAATGCAAGGGAAAGTCGGTGTACAAAAGGTACAGATGCCTCTGTAATCTCTGCGGAAGGGCTGAATATACAGCCTTCAACTATTGTACTGATTCCTTTCCCTTTATAAAGACTTTCTGATGCTTCAGTATACAACCATTGTGTTACCTAATTGTGATGAGGTGAAGCTGTTACAGAAGCAAGTGTGAGGAGAGCTTAGTGCCTAGAAAGGCTGGTGGTTACCCCAAGTCAGAGGACTATAGGGATTCTAAGAGTGTATAGCGAAGGTTTCTGTAAACCTCTACTCCCTTGCAGGGCAGGTAAGGAAGGTTTCCTTAGAAGAAAAAATCCATCGTAAGACAGACTAGACCTCAGGTGAGGGGGAAAAATTACTGTTTCCCTTCTTTGATTCATTAAACAAGACTTTTATTTAATGAATACTTTTCCTTTAAGTCATGACAGGGCATACCTGAGTTTGGATTTCTTTCCTTCTTGAGTAAGATTAGATATATGGTATTACTTATTGTTAAACTTCTCCAAGTTGGATCCTGCTCATTTTTTTAGATAGGTTGCTGCAACTTAGGTAACTTTAAAAAAAAAAAAAAATCAGGATTTGCAGGCTCTAAGAATTGTAGAGGTGTCTGAGGTTGCACTCCCTCCAAGTCAGGTGGGCCAGCTGACAGCAGCCAGGTGGTCTTGTTGCTACTGAAAAACAGTAAAATGACTTTGCAAAGAAAGGAGAAAAGCAGATCAGCAGGGAAACCATATAGGGGGTTTTGCGGGGTCAGATTAAGTGAAGTTCTGTCCATTAAGAAATTACTGAATTTTTTTTCTATTCAGAGATCAGTATTTTCTTATTTAAACATTTATTGATAAAACGTGACTGTTTTCATGCATTGACTTCAATTCATGATTAGGTTATAGATGTTCATGTTTTTAATGTTGTAATACAGGATGATCAACAGGAAGATCTCACCTTCCCACTTGTTGATTCAAATGCTCAAATGCAGATTAGAAAGCGGATTGTCCTTGAAAAACTGAGAAAAGCGTAAGCATTTCTTATTTCCTTAAATATCAAGCTGGAGTTGCTGCTCGTTCGTCATCGGTTCAAGTTACAAACAGACTGTGCAAGGATGTTCTGGCCTTTTTCTAAGTGGCATTGGTTATAAGTTAAAACCCTTAAAAGAACTTGCTTATTTCTGAGATGATCATTTGTGATACAGTTTTAGAGAACAGTTTGCACAGCCCTCTGAGGTGAATGTTAAAAACTCGCTGTTGATGTATTCTGTAAAAGAAACTTGCCCCTTCCTAAGGAGAGTCAGAGCTTGTGGTTGGCAGCGTTGTAGGCTGGCGTGACAGCATGTTGCCACTCTTCAGTAGTTCAGTAGCAAAAGTCACACAACTGTGCCATTACACTGGAAGTTTCTGTACTTGAGGATCTAAATGTTGCTAAAACATACATAGCTTAAAATGAGAATAGGTGCTTCCAGAAGGAAGAGCCCACAGCAAACACTTCATTTATCATCCTACTTTTTCCCAGTGAATCTTGAAATATCTAAAATATTTAAATTCTTTAAAGTTGTTTGAAAGCAGATTCTGATGGACAACAAATATGAAATAGTTGAATAGCTTTACATATCAACTTCTGATGTTTAAACTGAAAAACTTGAAGTTGATTGGAGGGATTATAAATGTTTGTCTTGTACAGCATACATTGGTAAACAGATCTACCCAGAAGGAAGCGGTTTTTTTCAAATCTATTAAATAATTTAAGCAAAGCTCTTGCTAAAAGAGTTACTAGTACATATGCAGACAGCTGCTATTGGTGTGCCTCTTGCCCTAAGCGATCATTAAAAGCCGTCCAAGCTGAATCTTAAAACTTTCCAAACATCTTTTTTTTTTAGGTTTTCTTTCTTTTTTTTTTTTTTTTTTTTTTTTTTTTTTTTTTTGTTTTTTTGGTTTTATTTTTTTGAGGAGTTTATTTAAAAAAAAAAAAAAAAAGCTCCATTCACTCTTTGTCTCTACCTGCAGCAAGTGCGGTATGAGAGCATGTGGTGTTAACTATGGTGTAAGAAAAGTGACTATAATGTCTCTGATCTTTCCATGAGTGTCAATGTTGCATGGATCCCACTACTACTGCATTATAAAGCAGTATCTCTCCTCCTTCAGTTTTTTCACAAGTTTGTCAGCCTTGTCCAGCTTCTAGCAAAATTTCCATTGAACTTAAGTTTTGTACTCTATGAATAGAAGGTATGAAAGACAGAACATTGATTTCTTAGTTTCTTCAAAGTTTTTATTCTTGAATATCCCCTTCTTTAGTTGATATTTTAAATTTTATGAGGTGATGCAGTATTCCCGTCATACTTGAGTAAGAGAGACAATTTTCCTTGTGGCAAAGTGATGATTTCTTGGTGTGTTCAGATGAGGTCAGTGGGAATATGAATAGACATGGCATCATAAGAGGCCTATCTTCAGTTTTTGTAAAACATGGTGATGTAATGGAGAATAGAAATATTCATTCTTCCAGCAATTCTGAGAAACCATGCACATGTTACAAGTAAATGTAAGTATATGTAAGGATGATTCTTCACATGCAAGAGTATTAACTATTAAAGAACAAGTAAATAGAGGCAAAATTTTCATCCTAAATGTGAAAACCAGTACATATTATTTCCAGCATTTGAGGATACTAACAACTAATTAAACAGTTTATATATGTGCAGTCTGTGATGTGCTGTATCAAATTTTGTGCGCAGCCAAGCGGAGAGGCAACCTGTTCTGTTCTTTCTTTTGAAATTTTCCTCTTGCCCCGCTATTTTGATTCCAGCTGTCAGCCTTATAATAGACTGTTATTTCTGTTTATAGCCTTTTTGCATCATACATTCATCTAAGGTTAGAAGATACTTTTTGTGTACCTACCTCATTTGGGTGAATAGATTCCTTTTGTATTTTAATTTTTGACCAAAATAAATATAAACATTTGAAATAATTGAGGATTAAAATTCTAACCCTCAGAATGTAATCTATTTGAGTTTTTTTAAGAACGTCCTGTAAGAACTGAAATGTAAAGCGAATAGTTTATATATGTAGAACGGTGTATTTGCTTTCTTCTTTGCATTTGCGCTGAACTAGAGCTTATTTTTATAAATAAGTTGTTGCAGAGGAATTAATTCTTTAAAAGAGAGGAAAATGTCTATTAACCAATATGTTTTGCCCTCTAGATTACCTGCAGTTTTGGGCCCTCTTCAGATTACACTAGGTGATGTTTACACAGAACTAAAAAATCTTGTCAAAACTTTCCGGTAAGTATTGTTCTTTTTTAGAGATTGATTTGTTCGTTTGTGGGGGTTTTTTGTTTTGCTTTGGTTTTTTTTGACTGATTAATTACACATGCTGTTGAGTGATTTAGGGGCAGAGAGGGCCCCAGTGCATATTTGCCCTTCTCTAGCTGTGTCTTCACGTAGGTAACATTGCATTCCCTATGGACTAACAAGTCATCCCCTTCCCCTGCTCCTGACAGTGGCTGGGTCACCAGAATTATTTGTAGGTTTTTTAAAAACTAGGCCAGTGGTCTCTGGAGGATGAGGGTGAGTCTTTTAAAGGTTCTGCTACCTCGTCACCTCCTATTAAGCGTGGATTTCTGAGATCTGTCACTTTCTTTTGCTCTGTGCTCCCTATAGCTGGGCTAAATGATTTTAATGTGATTAATAATTGTTACCGCTAACTTCCAGAACTAGGAAGAAGGTCCAGCTTGACGTGTCCAGCTTCGGATTTTAAGGGGAAAAAGAAGGGGATGCTTTATCACCACAGATAGTCAGAAGCCCTGGAGAGGGTTTTTGGGAACGCTGACACTAAACAAGGAGAGAAATCAGAATAATAGTAACTTCTCTGAATGTTTTTAGGTTTTCTTTGGGCCACAATCTTATATCTTGGACCTAGATCAGGTCCTGCATCCTGAAGCATTGTTAGAGTAAGGAGCAACAACAGTTGCTAACTGTGTGTAGTCTGTCACTCTTAAAACAATTTTTTTCCCACTAACCTACGTGAGGTTTACATGAACCCTTTCAAACACTCATTCTTGTGGCATTTGCCACAAGGAATCTAGGCTTTTCATGAGCAGAAACCCAGTTCTGCCTGAAGCCCTTATGATTTATCTTAGATGAAGCACCCCTCTAGAATACAGATTTCTGTATGTGGCATTTCTAGTCATGGAATCTATTTTTCCTTTTCCTTTCTGGTAACACTGTGCATGATGTCCTATAATTAGCATTTTTAGTATTTGAACTTGATTCTGTAATTGCAGTCTTTAGGAGTGTTATTGTTGCTGATAGCAAAAAATATAAAGGTACAAGAAACAGAGAAGTAGTAAAGGCCTCTGGGCCCTTTCTCCTTGCATTTCTGCTGCAGAAGGGTCTGTTGATGCACAAATGCTACCTCATGGATGTTAAGATGAAGACTTAGTTTTGAATCCCCAATTCTATACGTTAGCTTAAATTTACCTCATGTGAGTAGTCTCACTGATTTGAGGTTGAATGCTTTGGTAGGGTGACATGGGATAAGTTTTAACCTCTATGTTTGCAGGGTTTATACGTTGTTACTTTCTTCGTTAATGTGGTTAAAATGCTTAATGAATAAGGAGGCAGCACTGACAAATGCAAGTGCTCTTTTCTGCATTTTGTACTGGAAATATTTCAGCTTGAAGAACTTGCTGAAGAGGGTAGGAGATAAAACACATGGCAGTACTAGAGCTTAGCTGAAGAAGGGTAAAAGAGCATGTGGTGAACTGAGCAACAACAATTTTCAGCTCCATTGGTTTTTAAAGGAACACTTGCAGTTCAGCCTCTCTTGGGCAGCATTTTATTCAATCACCACTGCTGGGAAACGCACTAGAGGGATCTCAAGAGACATTTTAGAATGGTTATAGCTCTTTCCAAGCAAAGTCCCTCAGTGCCTGTAAGCTTTTGTTACGAAAACTGAGATGTCAAATAATTCTCCAGAGTGTTTAAGGGCACTTTGTTAAAAGATCAAGAGAAAATTAGCTATTTATGTAGAAATCTAGGCTAAATGATTAAGTATTTGAACGTGATTTAAAAAAAAAAAAAAAAGAAGGAAAGCTTAATAGCACATATGGAAAACAGAATTTCTTTTGTACCCTATGGTTACAAATATTGAAGTTCCTTTTATGGAGCTCATTGTTGACATTGAACTCTTTGTCAATGAATGTGATACAGTTGCTGCTTAAAGATGTGTTCAAGACTTTTTATTACAGCTTTGTCTTAACTTTTTTTCCAAGATAATATTTTAGCTTTTAAATAAGTATTATTAGTGCATGTTACCTAATGTACGCTCACCAGCAGGCTTTGACATTGTCAAGTAGTCAAGTGGAATTTTAAGTTCTGAGTTTCAGCTTAGTCAGCAACACTTTGTTGTAGACAAGGTTCTGTATGGAAATATGGAAGTCACAGAACTTTAATGACCTTTGCTCTTCAGCACTGGGGAGAACTGATTAACATGACTGAATTGCCAATTGAGCATACTATTATAGCAAGATAGGATGGATATAACAGTGTTTGCTAACATAATTAGAACATTTCCTGTGAGCATGTCAAACTTGAGCATGCAAGTGGATTCATTAGTGCAGACCTGTTTCTAAAGCAGCAGATCACCAAAGTAAACAGCCTCCTCTTGAAGAGAATGTAAAGTTACAATAGTAAGTCATTTCTGCTGGTTATAATCAAACTAAGTTACAATTCAGTATGTAAATATGCTGCTCTCTTTTTGGGGAAAGGAGTCATCTTTTACGGTTAGGCAGGTGTAGCTGGAGCCTAAAGAAGATCTGTGCTTCAGGATATGCTTATGCTAACCTGGCTTAATTAAAATACAGCTTCCCTCATCTTAGTGTAAATAAAGTTTTAAAAAATTAATAGTTAGCTGAGGTCCTCTGAAGTCACAACCTTAGATCCTAACCTATGGAGTCAGCTTGCTGCCTTACAGAGCAGGCAAATGGCCAAACTAATGGGTCAAATTCTTGAACTGAATTTGTATTTGCCTGCTCTAGGAATTTAGATGTACGAATGAAAAGGTTGCTTCACTTGCAAAGACACTGAGCGCATTGCCTTGCAACAAAATTAAACTGTAAAAGCAATAAAAAAGAGCCCTCTATGTGGGGCACATCTTTTTTCTTCCCCGAGCATAAGAACAAGTACATGGGTAAAACTGAGAGACCCAGCATGGGCCTGTTTAAGGGAATATTCTTTCACCAGGTGCACAGAGACTTGATGCTCATAGATGAGAGGTGTGTTCTTAAGGATAGATGAACTTTTGGGAAAGGAAAGAATACTCAAGAAGATAATTTATAAATGGGTACAAAAAATAGGGTACAAAAAGTATAAATGGGTACAAATGGGTACAAAAAGTTTGTTTTCTATGAGCTAGTTACATTTTAAGGCATCTCATTTAAAATATCTGATGATGAGGACAGATTAGGGGATACACTTTATTTCAGCACAATAATCCTTGTGTCCCTCTGCCATTCCCTGTTAGATGGCATTGCTATCAAAAAACGATTTCCTGTAATTGTCAGAGAACATAATACTGTTGGGGAAAGGGTGGTGTACCCTTGCCTTGCTAAAAGTTTCTTTTCTGTAACTTCCAGTTTGTTGGGGTTCCTGTCCAAATTCTATCTCAGGGCTCTTAGGGATGTGCTTGAATCTGCTAATCTGCTGCCGCAGCAGGCACTGGTTACAAATCACGTGGCCATCATTCATTAATAGTGTTTTGCTAGCAAAATCAGCAGGTGACAGTAACTGAATGAGAAGACATACCAAAGGAAAAGAAGTAGGACCAACTGTGTGTGCTGCTTTTTGTCATTTTTGGCTTTAGGTTTTCATTCAGTGGTTCCTTTAACTTTGGACTTTGCTGTACTCCCACAACTTCCATACTAGAGTTCACTTTTTGTTGCAGGCTGTGCTCTAATCAGTTATTGGGAAGTGATTTATAATGGAATTTTCCTGCATCTTTTAGCCCTTTATCCCATCAGCTTGTCCCTTTGATCCAAAAGGCCCAATCTGAGCTTCTTCAGAGTATTAAAAATGCTCTGTGGGTCCTGTTTGTTGCCTACTGGATGGTGGAAGCAGTTCAGTCCATCTGCAGTGCATCTTCCTGCAAGGTGCTAGGGTGAACTACAGCACCCACAAACCAGCAGCTAAGTGGCCCACAAAGGTATTTGGGATCATCTTCCAGCTTTCTTGGCATACTTATCCTGCCTTAAAGAGGCTAAGTGGCTACGTTGTATTTTGATAGTTGCATATCGTTTTCTTTAGTGGGGAGGGAGAAGTTGGTCAAACTCTTTGACAAAAAATATTTCACTGCAAAGCCAAAGTTTTGTTACCCAAGATGCGTACCCAAAGTTTTGTTGTGTTTTTACATTTCCATATGATACCTTTATAACAGAACTCTAGTGACCTTTTTCTCCTCTCTTTCATGGACCGTTCTGAAGTAACAGTTTTGGCTAGAGGCAAGACAAAGAATTAATGAACCATTTTTATAGAGGACTTGCGCTTCCCTGTTTCCTGAAAGCTTTGCTCTTCAGAGGCCTTGGTGTTGACACACAGCTTATTTTTGAAAGTGACTGCCCTTCCACTGCTCCTTGTTATTTAAGGCTTCACACCTGTAGGTTGCTAGCTTTAGTCTGATCTGCCTAAAATGTTTTTTTTCAATACAATTGCACAAGTGCTTCAGGACAGGTGTTGTACCGAAAGGTTACTCATTGCACAAGCCTGACTGTTCATCCAGCCCAGTGACAGTAGTACATCAGCAAATCCATATTGCCGTATCCTGCAGGTTATCTGTGTCTTCTGACTACCTCCTTTGTAAATAGCATATTGATGGCAGTGACTAGTGTTGAGACCTTGCCAATCAATACTAACATTGAATAAGAGTTAATTGACACAAATAACTGCATCTCTCAGTTTGTGTACAAGAATGACGTGTTCCTGTGCTCTAATCAATATGGCTCCTTGTAGAGCATTGAAATAAAGCTGCTTTCTCTATTTGACAGAGTTTTCCCAGGTGATTTGGAGCTGTCTCTTCCACTGTATCTCATCATAGCAGATTAACTGGAATGTTACATATGAATTGCCTGTCAAGATGATTCCATCAGGCATTTTTTCAGTAGTGTTTATCACTGTCATCAGTATTGAGTCAAGACCTTCAGCCTTTGTTTTATCTCTTGTTCTTTAACCAGAAAATGTAACAGTTTAGCAGGTACTAACTTCTGCTAGGTACCACCATTAGCTATTTCAAATAGTAATTGATAAACATTAACCTTTTAATAACAGAAATAATCTATATTTACCAAAACGATTGGTTCTAATTTGTCATGACAGTTTCTGTACACGTAGTACAGGATACGTGTTTTTCCTTTCATCCTTTAACAAAGTTAGGACTGTAGAGGCACTGCTTGAGTGATCATTGCTTACAAACCTTATTTTGGTTGGAAAACTTTTGAGATTTGAGGAGAAAAAGAGGACAATATTACTTTGATCATTACTCCCCTTAGAAATAAATTTTAAGAATTTGTATTATCTTTCTGAAATAAAGGAATATGAAATAATTGTATAAAGCATCTTATTAATAACTGTGCATTTCTAATTACCACTTTGATTTTTTTAAATAATTTTTTGTAAAATAAACAAAATTTGAATTTTAACAATGGCAGATGCCGAAAACTTGGATGTTACCATTTTTTAACATCTTTTTTTCATAATTATGTTCTTACTCAAAGAAAATTAAAAAAAAAAAAAAAAAGACTCAAAATTCTCTTGAAACTGAATTTGTTCCGAGATATTTGATTTTAAAATTGCTATACTTATGCAATGTACAAAAAAAGAATGCTTTTAGTTCCTGTACTGGGATGCTAAATGTATAACTGATCTTCATAGATCACTATGCTTTGGGAGCCCCTGAGCATAGCAATGTGCTCTCCTGCTCCTGAAGCTGGAATTATTGTACATGATCAGTCATCAGAAAGGATATGTCTCCACCCTGTCTGCAGCTGTGATTTAGTAAGAGATTAGAGGCACACTTAACATTCATTTGTTTGAGCTACCATAATTTGTGTGATGACCATTTGTCACGCTGCCACTAGTCACATTTAGTTGATCGTGTTCTGGTTAAATTGCCAGAACTGGCAATGTGAAGAGATCCAGTGATAAAGCCTCTAACGGCTAGGCAGCTGATGGTAACGTCTACTGCTAATGCCGCCATATGGCTTTCCATAGGTGACTTACAAAAGTACTTCTCTCTGCAAGTTTCCACGGGTTAAAACTTCCCGGAATTCCAAAACTTCCTGTGAAATATCTAAAAGTGGCTTAAGTCCTTTTTCCTAAAATGAGCCATGAACATACCATGGAGACGTGTTCTCCTACCCCTGCAGTGCTTGGTGTCCTCCAACCTTGCTGTGTCTCCTCTCTTCCTGCACGTTTGTGCGAAGCCCCTGGTGGAGCAGGTGAAATACCACCTTTTAGGAAAATGATTACCCCCACACATTCAAGCAACCTCCCGTAGTGTCTGTAGAAGCGGATATGAATGAAGAGTAGCTTCATTCTGGATCTGAATTTATACTCGGCAAGACAGAAAGGAGGCTGAGAGCACGAAGGAAGGAAACGTACTGAAGCACTACCTCTTACTATTTCTATTGTATGGCACCATCTGTCTAAATCAAATTAATTCTGCTAGCCTTTTTGGAGGCCCACATAGCTGCAGTTTCATTGTTAGCTGTGACTTTTCCATAAAATTACTCTTGCCCTGAACACTATGGGTCACACCCAAAACTGGCTGTAACTGTTCGAGTGTGACCTCTGCGTTTGACTTAAAGCAGCTGTGCCTTACCTAGAAGTTAAAGCAAATGTGTCATGAGGCATAAAATACAGCAGCCCTTTTGTTGAATACCCACATGGTTCTTGATGCACACCTCGTTTTCCTCTTCTTATATCTGCACTGGCTCCCACTAGGTTAGAATTCAAGGTTTCTGTTAATAGTTCAAGTCATCAGCGGACAGTTTCTAGTTCCTTACCTAATCCAGTCTGTTTCCACAACATTAGCTCTTACAGCAAATCCGGATCTGAAACCAACGGGGGGGGAAACTGAATGTAGGAAGGCCCTTCTTTTCAGAAACATATGTGCAGTTCCTGAGAATTTCCCGCTGGATAAGAGGGAAAGCTGAGCCCTCACAGCAGTCAGAACTATTTGCAAGCCAGTTCTTTGAATTAGCTTCTGTTCACTCTTTGCGTCCCGTTTTCATAGAGAACAAAGAGACTTAATGAGAATCCTGCAATCTCTTCATTACAGGATGAGATGAGAGAGAACCCTGAAAGTTGGTGAATGGCTCAGATACAGCTGTAATTGCCACATTGTACCATAGCATATTGAATCTTAATGGTAGACGTAAATGAAAATTCAGCAGTCAAGATCTGTTAATCTTCACTTTTACTTTAGAATGTTCTGATGTTCTTTAATTAATATTTTTCAGGTTCACAAACAGAAATATTATTCACAAAATGCCTGAATGGACTCTAATTGCTATTGTCTTGTTATCTACGTAAGTAACCTATAATGTCAAATACTGTCATTCACAACTGCCTTAACTAGCCTGTCAGGACAAGATTTAGTTTTCAGATAGAAGGAGGAAAGGTCGAAATTGATGGGGAAATCAACAGAAATATTTTTGCATGCAAACAAAGTAACTTCTCTTGACAAAGCAGGTGACTGTCCCACTTGTAACAGCATGTTAACAATGGGCAAACTTAATGCTTATTTTTTAAAAACAGTTATGTTTTAGGGTTTTTCAAGAGGAAAGGTGGGAGGAAAGAAGAGGATACTTCACTTTTCTCCATCCACTGCTGCCAAGCAGTCTTCCCCTCTCCGACAGTATTTTCTACAAAGTAACATGCGTGTTGTTTGCATATGGCATACACTTTCCGTATTCAGTAACATTCCTCCCTTGTTTTGGAAAACACTAGCTTTTTGAAATTAGAAAATGCTAATTAGAAAATTAGTAAATTACCTTTTATTATTTTATTATTCCTTTGTAATTTTTCCTCCAAATTTATTAGAGAATTCACTTGCATGATAAAAGTCAAATTATTTTGGTAGATGTGGTGTGCTTCTAAATGTTTATGTTTGAATTATCTTTCAGTATTCTAGCAGACTTCTTTGAGAGGGGAAACTTTTGTTTAGTAGCCCTAACATTCTGATATTGGGACTTTTTTTGTGGATTCACTTTATTGTTCAAGCTTATGATACTGCAGCACCTAGACCCATCCTTAGCTTTGTTCTACATTCTATAGATTAAAATTCTTTACAATGATTTTCCTAACTGGAAGCCTCATTTTATTATAATCTCTTTCAGTAAGCTTCTATACTGAGACATGAAGTATAAAAGTTGCAATCATATGCATCAAGTAACTTTCTTAATTTATATTTTCCAAATTTGTGTATATTTCTGAGGTTAAAAAGAAAGATTAAAAACTTTGCAGTGTAATAAAACAGTTCTTTCACAAATTCATATTAAACATTTAACATTAGTTCACATCTTAAGAAATCACTGGTGGTTTCACACAGTGTCAGGCCCTACCTTTCAATAGGGTTAAAACCATCAAGCAATCTTTTTATGTCTTTCAGCTTGAATTACAGGATTGCAAAAATCTTATTTCAGGGACTGTTTATTACCGCACTGCTGCTGCTTCTTTTGGGCTTGCTGGGTCACTGGAGCCTGTAGGACAGAGAAGTACTTACAGACATTCAGAGGTCAAGAAGTGTTGTGGGCCAGCCTCATAGCATCCCCAGTACTGCACTTACTTTCTTTGATATTACTTTAGTCTGACACATTGTTCTGGCTTTGCTGTCCCAAGGAAGGCTATACCAGTAGGCATTAGAGTAGGCTTCAGCGAGCCTTACATCTGTGTCACCCAGCCAGATACCGCTCAAATGATTCATTAAATCAGAACACAGAAAGTAACTTTACTTGAATGCCTTGGCATAAATTTTTTATCAACTGTAAGAACAAATCTTTTGTCATTTTTACTATATATTCTTATGGTTGAATTGGTAATTTGTGAAACAGATCTTATGAATTTTTCAAGTAGTTCCTTTACGTTTAATGAAATGGTGACTGCTTTGATCATGGGTTAAAACATGTCACTGGTCTCTGCTGCGTATGATGAGCCTTAAATGTTTACATACCTACTAATTGTTTTATGGTTGTTTCAAAATGTTAAGGAAGTAGCAGGCAGTCTTTATATTAGTAGCAGTTAGAAGCATAGAGCCAAACCTTTTTTTTTTTAACCTTTGTTTTCTAAGAATCCACCCCTAAGCAAATGACAGTTAAATTTTGTCCTAAAATAGAGTGGATTTCTTATCTAATGTTATGCTAGTGAAGACCTGAACAAAACTCTCATTGACTTCAGCTTATTATAAATTTATTGCAAGCTGATGATCTTCAATTTTTGAACAATTTCTCTGAGCCCCTTCTTAGGAGAAGCTGTGCGAGAATGTCAGGATCAGACAGTTGCTCTTGATTCTTCTATGTGGAAGCTGATGAGTGTTGCATCCTTTCAAGAAAGAGCAGCACAGAACACTTAATTTTTTTTTTTAGAAATTCTTACCAAACTCGAAGATTTAGTGGAATCCAGAAGTGTGCAGAGAAGACCTGAAAACCTATTGCAGAAAGCTGGCCAAGTCACTTGGGAAACAGATCCCCAGATTGTGGACGTTTCTCACTTCCTGTAGTCTTCCAGGGAACCTGCCAAATGTCACTAATATTGCTCACAAAAGGATTTTACTGTACGAAGTCTTCTCTGCTCTCCCCTTAACTATAACGAGAAATGATGCATGCTGCAGGACATGGAATGTCATTTAGATTGAGAAATTATATGGGGCCTGGGTCAAGAATGGGTCTTTACTAGCTTCTTTCACTGAAAGAGGCAAACGTTTTCTGGAAATACATTAACAGGTATTGACCTGGTCCCAGATGCAGGATGCCCATTTTACTCCTAACACTAATCAGTGAAGTAGCATAAGCAACACCCTGACAAAGGATGATACTTACTCTTTCTGACTGGAGGAAAGATCATGGGATCATGGGTACCCTGGGAAGCAGGAGGTATAAGAATATGGATTAAAGAAGGCAGAGTGAGCATAGGATTTCAGGATATACATCAAAAGAAACTGCCAAGACCTCGAGTATTTTTGGTTTTGTTTGGGGGGGATGTTTTGTTTAAAGTAGCAACTGTTGGACTTTGCTTGCACTCCGTCTTATGCATAGATGTTGTGGCTCACCACTTCCTTCTCATATATGGCTAGAGTGTGCTAGGGGCTGATACAGTATACTGAGCTTCACAGTGCACTCGGAGTACCCTGACACTTTCTGTGGTCTCTGAGCTCTGCTGGCCAGAATCACTGTCATCATTACTGCTGTATTGAATTCAAGTATTATCACTTCTTAATGCCTTGTATTATGTTATGATGATGCTATCCTCTCTTCATGAGAGCGTGGGTGAGTGTGTTTGTAAAGTAACTCTTTGTAGGCTACTCTGTGTAGGATAGTCCCAACACCTAATTTCGATGCTTAAATTAGACCTAGGCTCCCTGTATAGTCTGCCAGTCCTCCAGAAGCTATTCAAAGCAATTACATGCTCTTGAGCCTATTGACTGTTAAAGAAACCTGGGCTTCTGATTCATAGCTTTGAAGTAAGGTGCCTGAAGTAAATATCTCTGAAGTAAATATCAAATGTTGGTGATCCCAATAGTGGAGCATATCCTCTTTTTAGTGAACAGCTAGATTTATTCAGTGAAATCATCCTATAAAATATAAACAGCTAGCCTGAACCTTTATTGAAAATCTAGCCTGAGGCAGTCTTGCCTTTCTGACCAGCACGTTCAGCAATACTTATAGACTTTCCCAGCGTATCCTTCAACAGCCAGTGAAGAGATTATGTTCAAACAATTATATTAATGCCTACCATGGCATGGATGACTCTTTAAAAATGATATGTAGATCAAATGCCTTATTTATCTGCCGATTCTAATAATTTTATTAGTGGTAGGTTTTTGTTTCGTCCTGTTTGAATGTTCAGTATACTAGCAGAATTGTATGTTATAGTAGTATCTAGCTTATAATGTAGTGTAAACTGGAATGTAAAAAGTGTATCTTTTCCCCCAAAGAACTTTATGAGATATCAAATGAAGCAGATACATAGATGCACGTACAGTAGTTCAAGAAAGAATGGAGAAAGCGGTGGGAGGATTGGTTACTATACAAGCACGGGCATTTGCTGTTTTTAGTGTATACCCCTGGTACAGTCTAATGGAAAGCTTTCAAGATATTTTCAGGAAATGTCTGCTTTCATCTTAGTTATCTGAGCTGGCTGGTTCCAGTGAACTGTGGTCAGCTTCATCTGCAAAGCCTAAGCAAGAGGGTCCCCCCCGCTAAAAGCTTTGAAGCATTTCAAAATGTTCTGGGATTAGTTTATAAGCGTTGGGCTGCAGTATTTAAACAAACTCAAAATGACCGTGATCACTAAACAAAAGCCATCATTATATGTGTGCAGCCACTTCAGATAAATGTGTCGTGTGGAGATGTACTCTAGAGGTTTGCTCTCTCGGAGGTAACAGTTCAGGAACTGGAGAATCTGGGTATGAGTATGTGTTTTTACTTCTTTGCACACCAGAGCACACCTATGGCTTGAAACTGAAATTTCTAAATTATTTTCAGAGGAATTCAGATGTTTGCAGTATTTCTGCTGTGTTCATGATGTCTGAAAATTATCTGAGGTACAAGTACATATTGAATGTGAATGAATTTTCCAGAGTGACTGTAAAAATTACAATTGTACTCAACAGATATGCTTTCCATTATTCTGTTTTTGTTTAAATGACATGTCTGTTTAAATGACTTTTAATGTCTGAAAGATACTTATTCCTACAGAGGTAGCATACAAATAAACTGGATGCTCTTTTATTTAGCAAGTCTGATGATAGAAAAATGAGTCAAGTTTCACGTGGAAAAGATAATTCATCTCTAAGTAGAAATGTAATTGTTTCCCATTCTGAAGTAGTTTGCAGGTCCAAAAATTCAAAAAAACCTTTCCTTTATAAGAGTATTTGAATTTGGGCATGGTCTTTGTTTCTACCGTTGGTCCCTAGCTGTAGAGTATAGTTTTGTGTAAAAGAGGGAAACTGCAAGTATTTTTACACATTAAGAAAATTAGGAAAGTGTATTCTTTCTCTTACTAATTACAGGTTATCATTTGGTAAGCGTGAACTCAAATAGGTTTTCTGTTAAGCAGTTCTTGCTTATCAGCACTTTCTAAGCAAACTCAATCTGCTTATTTGGCATATTCTGCAGGAATCACTATTACTTTACTTCCTCCTAGCATGTTCCAGGATTACTTGGGAAATATATACAGTACAGTATTTTGAGGGATTTGCAGCGTTGTTAATTGTAGAATAAATGAATGCCAACTTCAAAGTTTAATATCTTCGTCTGCCATTCGTAAAGGGGGAAAAAAAAAGAAGTAGTCTTAACAGTTTGAAAGAAAA